AGATGGATTTTGTGTACGAAGTCTTTCACTTCCCCACAATCTAGCTTGTGTTTGGAAAAAATGTCAGAATATTTTAGAAAAAGTTCAAAAACATTTTTCTTACAGTGGTCAGACACTTCATGAGTCAAGATCCAGACCACTTAGACAATTACGTGTCAGGGTCTCAGACGTATTTAACTGTTTTTCTCTTTTTTCAATTACTTGACTGGATGACTTAAAACATGAGCTGTCAAGAGGTTGGAGCTCCTCCACAGCAAGGCACCGGTATACATCTGCCAGTCTGGGATTTCTCTTAATGGTGATGGGCTTATCTGTGGGGTTTATGACTTTCATAGGGACACATCCATCTCCCCACAGTGGAGTCACCACTCTGCCAACCAGGATGTTTCTTGGCATCGATCGAGACTTTGTCGGTTCAACCACCACAGTACTACCTGAAGAACCTCAGGACTTTTCTGGGAGTTTCCCCCAAACCAGATGCTCATGTCCTGGCAGAAGTGTCACAGCTTGTTTTAGCCTTACTGTACCCACAACATCAGGAACATTCTCGCCTGTCCACCGATGAATGCCAGCCAACATGGCAAGGAAATCATCACCTCCTCCGTTGTCAGTGTCAGTTGCCCCTGAAATCAGTTTCYAATAGATGCCCGAATCCTTGAATCTGTGAGTGAGAAACTTGATGACATTGGTCCCTAAAATGAGCTCATCCACCTGGCCAGCTACAACAAGTGTAGGCACAATTACTGTACATCCATAAACTTCAAGTTGCAGATCACAAATCCTCTTTGGATGTACTCTGTGGCCTCCACATCCAATCAAGATGACATCCAAATCCTGCTGAACACCACAGTCCAGAACRCCAGCAGCAATGAGTCTCCTTTCTACATCCTCACTCACAGACCATGCCATAGACCTGGTATCCAACATGGCAGTAACAGTCTCACATCCACAAACAACAACTGGTGTGTAAAACAGCTTATCGCTGCCATTTAAACGCTGTGTGTTCTGAAGGATGAYTGTTTGTTGACTAGGGCTGCTTTCRCAGAAGGTTTCATATAATGAATGCAAATCAGCACTGAGGGAGTCWTTAATCAAGCCCACACTGCCCCTCACCAAATGTAGGCTGTCTAGTTTCCCTGTGGCAAAGGTGAGGCAGAGGTTGAAAGTGCTGCAGGAGAAGGTTCATTAGGACATTGATTTCTCCCATGGCCTGACTGATGACACAAGAAACACAGGCGGTGACGCCTACAATGGGCAGTAGTAGAATGGGATTTTTCATTGCAAATTTTGCAAGCTCCAGGGCCTGATTGTTCCCTCCACTGGGATGAACTGCTTGGGAGAGTCTGTTTGTTGGAGGCAGATAAGTTGCTCAACACCTCACCCAGCATCACAGTCATCTTGTCTATGATACTTTGCAATGAAGCAAGTTCCCCACTCCGCTGAGGCTGACTCACACTCTGCTTGTGGCAAATTAGTCCAACCTCAGRTTCTGTTTGTTTATTTATGTGCACATCATCACTCACAACAGTAGCTGTGTGTTGGGAAAGGCGTCCCATCCCAGGAGCACCATGTCCAGTTTTCAGTTCTCTGTGGTACTCATCAAGTCTTTCCTGGACCTCCTTAGCAGTCCATCTGTCAGCTAGCTTGCCCTTGAACACAACAGACAGAGAGGGGTCATTACAATGTCTTACAAACATCATGGCTACTTCTTTATTGAGATCCTCCATGCCTTTGCCCTGACGCTTCAGACACTCCTGTGCTACATCTGCTGCTTTGTTCAACCGCACCCAATAATCAACTGGGCTCTCATGTGGTCTGGGGAGAGTACTGTAGAAGTCAGCAAGTGGCATGGATGAATATGAGAGGTTACTGAAATGATGCTTCAGAATAGCAAAAATTCTCAGGTTGCTGCTTAGCGGTGAGGGAGGGGTCACTGAGTATTCCAATCCGCACAACATCTTTAGCTCGACCCATAAGCCTACTCATTATCTCATCAGGTCGATCAGCAGTGCTGATGTTTTTCTTTTTTAGATACAGTACCATCAGGTCAATCCACTCATGGACAGAGCATTTGTCTGTAGARTCCCCACGGAACACAGGAGGTTCTCTACAGTTAGACTTTAGAACCATGTGAAACTGTGTCAGGTCAATAGAAGCGTTGTTAGATTGAGCACTACTCCCATCTAAAGGAAAAAAATTGTAAAGGTCCTCTGGACGGGTTCTTCTTTAATGAAACGTTTCGTCTCTCTTCCAAGAG